ATGGTTTTGCACACCAGGTTTCTTATACTAAGCTGTTTGTTTGCTGGGGATTGAAAGTTATTGGTCTTTGTGCAGACATTGTATAGAACCAGCTCAGACTGTATTTTCCATGAAGCCTGACCAGATTCTGTACTGTTGTCTGGGCAATTTTATATTGAAACCAGTCTTTTGTCAGTATTTGGCAACTCAAAATTCAAAGTTCATTGCATAAAGTTCAGCACTGTTAGGGCTTGCACATCATATGATCTGCTCTTTGTATTTAGCATTTGATCTCAGTTTTGAAATACAAAATTCTGTATTTTGACTGCCATCTGCCATTGGATATTGCTCTATTAAGTGCATCTGACAGTTTTTTCTAATAATTCATTATCTGCTCCTGGTGATTTATTTCAATTTATTTTAAGCAGTCAATTGATTATGTAGAAATGTCTTGATTAATTAAGACTAGGTTTTCTGTGAATGTATAAAGCCTCTTGAAGTAGTTTTCAATTTTTTTTTTTCTCCAAAATCTAGTGAATTGGAATTTTTGTGAAACTTGATAGATTCAGCATGATATATAACTGTATGTTGATTATAGTTAAGGAACATTAGTAGCATTTGTGATAAAGTGAACCATTGATAATTATGAAGCAGAAAGGGAGGGAGGGTGTGTGCATGTATCAGTAACTGATTATGTGTGCAGCTGAGTGTGCACAAGTGCAAGGAATTTAATCAGCAATCTGGTAGTCAGGTAGCAATAATGAGAAAAACAGAGACAATGTTGCAAACCGCATGTCTTACAATGTAAACCATCAATTCTAGACACTGCTTCCAGGCTATTTACACTGTTATTTATTCTGTAGTTTTTACAAGAGGTAAAACTAGTTCAAAACTATTAAAATAGTTATGATCATTTTGTTTTTCTTACTTGGCTAGCCCGATTTTTAAAAGTATTGAAATGTCCTGTCCATCCGGCCTTATTTTGGTATTGGCAGAGACAAAGATGATTCATCTCTGATATTGGTGATACTTTACTTGTTTTGTCCATTAGTTCTCTGTAACTGATTCAGTTAATTATGTGGAGCAGTTGTCAGTTATTTGTTGAGAACAGATGAAATTTAATTCAATAGATCTAAGAACACTCATGACAGCATTGAATTGTCTCTCTATATAAATGTATATGTCATGAAATATTGAATATTTTATGGTCATATGTTCTGATTATGTATGTTGGTTGGTTGTTTTCTTCACAAATAACCGATTACTTAGATATTAATGTATGACATAATAAACTGTGTTTATGGTGTAAATGTACGGAGACTACTGCTCTGAGGCTATCTCATATGAGTTCTGATTGAAAGAGATAATCAATTAATATTTGATATTTATAATATGACCAAAGAGTGCAGATTTGTTGTTCTTTCCAGGTGCTAGCTCAACATTGATGGTCATGTCACCTGTTGTGTTGTTTTTTCTTCACATCAATGGGGGCTTGTATGTAATGACATTATCTCCAATTTTGGAAGGAAATTTCTTTTGAAAATAACTGATGAGAGCTTTTGTATCAACCTTGATTGTCATGCATAACTAAATTATTTGGCTTGCATGGAATGGCCCTGACTATTTCCATTATTTTAATGCATTAATTTCCCAAACTAGGATTCTGGTCAAAAGAAAGAGGATGTTGGTGAATACATGGCTTAATGGTTTCTGCAACATTAGTGTTCAGAAGGTAATAAAACACAACATTAACTGGTTAACTGTCCAAGGTGATGATGATGTGTTATAAATGATAAAAGAAACAGAAGTTGTTAAGAACAGACTGAAGTTGCCAATCTGTTTTCCCAGTAATCCCTGGAACAGCCTGTCTGTCCATTTATTTTTAGCTTGTCTTTATCAGCTACTGTTTATTGCATTCTTGGAAATGTTCTGACCACAAGTATTGCTGTAGCCAGTCAGTGTAATTGCATTTTTCCGATGTCCCTGTGAAACCATCAGATAATTCCATTGATGGTAGTGACAAAAAAGAAGAAAAAGACGACAAACTTAATATGTTGAACAGTGATCTGCTATTTTGTATAAAAGTAATTTGTCTGGGGAAAATGTAGAGATAAATTGTTGTTAATATGTTTTCACACTTCATGTTATTTAGTGGTATTACGTCTGCATTTGAAAGCATTGCTATTTAGTGGTATAATGTCTGTATTTGAAAGCAGCTGTTCAATTCAAATTGATTAGAATTGTTATGTCTGCATCTTGTATATCTAAAACCCTCGTAAACAGATGTTTTGCTAATATATTGTATTAGATTGAAGATTGTATAAGAAAATAAAGAGTTTAATCAAGCAGTGATGAGTTCTGTTTCTTAGATGAATTGATTGAAAATGGTTTTACACTGTATACTCTTTGCCTTTGTAGAAGTACATGTAACACCATGAGATGGGGATTACACATCCTCTAGACCATGCAGCCTGTAACAGAGTTTTATATTTGGAAATCATATTGTTTTAATCACAATATTTCTTGTAAAATTTACTGAAAATTAACGGCGTTTTTGTAAAATTATAATGCATAGTCTTTACGGTAAAAGGCCTTTAAGCTTTTGCACCCGCTCACAAAGGGTCACTATATTTTGCTGGACCACTGAATTTTATCATGAATATTAAGCTATTTAAAGACCCACTGACACTAATATAAATGAAGAAGGAACATATTTTAATTCATGTAAGGTATAATAGATATAACTGGTTCTTGTTCCAGGAAGCTGACTTGAAAACCAGGAAGCAGACCTTAAAAAACATTAATATAAGTGGCAAGAAGTTTAAGTTGTTTCATCAAACTAAAATGAATATAATAATAGTATATTTCATAATGGATGAGGCCTAAAATACATTGAAATATTGAATTGAATGGAATATATTTTAAGTAACATGCTCCCCTGATTTTGCATATTATTTGTGTTTCTGATTTATATGCAAATGTTTGCCAAGGGACTTGTGAGTGGCAACAACTGTTTTAATGCCTTCTTTTTATTTTAGATTCTATCTTCTGAAACTGCTGACATGTTTATGACACACTTCTGTTTAGTTATTCTATACAATCATAAAATTATTTTGACTGAATATTTTCTTTGCATGTGTTATTTTGATTTATTCTTTTAGATCACTTGTGGTACATTGGTGGTATGAATTTTGTCATTTTGGTGTTCTTTAGGGTGTTGTAGAGTCAAGACAAACAGTGTCTAATAGTCATAAAATTATTTTGACTGAATATTTTATTGCATGTGTTATTGTGATTTATTCTTTTGGATCATTGGTGGTACACATATGGCATTTTGGTGTTTCTTTAAAGTGTTGAAGAATCATGACAAACACTGTTGCTGTGATCTAATGAAAATATTTCTTACTGTTTCTTTTCTGTACAACATTATTAAATGTATGTGTTAAGGAAATTTTGTATTATCACCTTGTTGAATTATCGAGTAAAACATAATTATGTGCATATATTTATATTGCTTGTCAATACTGTAGTAACATCATTTCAAAGGAGTTTTTAGCAAAAGTTGATTATTTATATCATTTGCTTTGTGTTTGGCATATCTTTCATGATAGAAGAAGAACATTTTGTTCAACTTATACATTTACATATTTACATATATGTTGTTTAATACGTCAAAACTGCTAGTAACACTTATAAAACATTTTGTAACGATTGGTGTTAAATGTAACTTGACTTCTACTTTTAAAATCTGGCAAATAATAATAAGGTTCAGATCAATTTCTTTGATATATATTGAAAACAAGTTCTTTGAAATAGTTTCTTCTTAGAGCATTTTAGTCTTGGCTACTTTACAGAATCTGTTTAATGAAACATAACATAGCTTTTTGTTCTGCTTGGTTGAGACAACTGAACAAAACTGAATATTTCCATTACTTTTAATTACATTTTCTGGCTCTGCAATCACATTTAACACCTTTCCATTTGAATTCCACTGAAAAATAGAATTCTATGTAGAATCATCAGGGAGTACAGTATTGAAGGCTATTTAGCCACAGACTAAACTGTTATTTTAGAGGAAGGTAATAAATTGTGGAGTATACAGACAGAAGTTTTCTGGTGTAATTACCTGGCATCCATTACCTGACTGTTGATGAATGACATGTTTGATTCCAAGCATTCCAGTGGCAGTCAGGTCCATTGCCTGGTTAATTTGTGCAGATTGGCTTTTATTTGTAATGTCTATTTTCATTATCAAGTGTCTGGGAGACTTTGGTATATGAATGGGATTGCAATTCTTTTTCTTGTTATAAACGTTTTTGGGTACTCTTAACATTGTTATAAACCTGGTTGAACAAAAAAAGGTTCATATAGCCTTAAAGGTTATTATTTAAGGTTCATATAGGTTTATATTAGGGGATTTCCCCTGACTGGTGGATGTAGGTCCAGCGATATGTCCCAAGCATAATATTGTCTTATACATACATTGAGGGATTTAAGTATTAAACAATTCAAATGTTTACCATCCTGAGACTTGATGTCATATGCATGAATCTATGCATTGGCTGAGTGGTCTAAAGTGTTGTTGCTTCATTAATGAGCGGATGATCTTTAGTTTGAATCCCAGCCAAGGCGTGATTTTTTTTTGTTACAAACTAATAAATACATGTACAAATTTGTATTAAAGAATTATGCAATGAAGCATTAAACAAAGAGAAAAGTTACCTTTGAAAAGGTTATAGCATGGTTAAGATTAGAAATTATACAATATTTTTTTTTTAACTTCATATTTTTTTTCCTTAAATGATTAATGTCATTATAGAAGTCATATGAACTAATACTATAAAATAGTCACTTGTCAAATTACTTATGTCAATTGTTATCTGAAATAAACAGCAAAGGTTTATGTTTTCAATAATTTTCCTTATATAGTTCATATATTCACTCCCTGAATATTTGTAAACATTAGCAATGAAACGTTAGATAATAAGAAATTAAATGTTGGTTATTATAAACTATTTCAGGTTTATTACGGGGTTCTACAATCGGATTACCAGGCAAGCAACGTTCTAGATTCTACAATGAGGTCTTGCGGCATAGTCAAGCTAAGAACCAAGAGTTGCTACCCCTGAAATCAAAGATGGAGAAGGCGGACGAAGATATCGATATAGACCAAGTGATGGAATCAATTGATGTAGAAGTAGCGAAGCGGGCTTCAGCTACAGATCCTTCATCTTTTGACGACTCTGAAGAATGGGAAAAGGTCAGTGTTTTTGTCTGTATTTTTGTCTGTAAAGGAAACATTTAAACATTTACCATTTCTGTTTGATTTTATAATAATTTAGTTACATTGATGCTTGTTTCTTGTTTGTAGTAAGCGTTAAAGTTACTTTTACTTTTAAGCTTAAATTTAGAAATTGATTTACTGTCAAATTTTTATTCAGTGAACTATTAATTACCCAAAAATGTTTGTTTCAGTGTTATATATGCATTAAATCAGAATATTTAGATTATTTTTGGTTTCTTGGCCAGAAAATGATGTTTCATATTTATATATTTTATCAAGTCTAGTAAAATAGGTTATTACATAATTCTATCAATAGTAAAGAAGATTCATACAGCTAGGTACCTCAGATCATTCTATAAATAGTAACACATTTATAAATAGAAATAATTATTCTATATATAGTATCATATTTGCTTGCAAGAATTATATTGCTGACAGGGTATAATTATTGGTGTAAAGTCTGCCAGAAAAATATTGTATGTAATTAATGACTTATTTAACGGCAGTTAAGACTGATGTTAAGTGTTAATTGACCCTCCAGCACTTGTGGATGCGCGGTTATGCCAACACAGGTTTTACTTTGCCAAAAAGCTCTTCAGATTGATAAATTGCTTCTATAATTCCCATTTAATAAATAGAGGATATTAGATGAGTGTAGATTCAATACTGAATTTATTGAACGAGTTGTATAAAATTGTATTATGCAAGCCTCTGATGAGCAAAATATTATTATTTTTCAACGAGTTCAATAAATAAAGTAATGAATCTACACAAATATGATACGCAATACCAAGTGGCAAAAGCGGGACAGGTATGTGATAATAATTGACATTGCACAGTTGGTTTGTAATGTCAGAGGGCCATGAAGTTAGCTGATGGAAAGTGCCTTTAGATATCTTTCTTTAGAAAAAGGTCAAAAGTCACCATGTGACTTTATAGATATTTTACACCCCTAAATTCCACACCCAATCTTTGCCCTACAAGGGTAATGACTTTTTTTTTTATTGAACAAAATTTGTACAGTATGTGTATAGATGATATGGCAATGTTTCAGATTGCAGACATCATGTCAAGTTTTGGTGGAAACTTGACAACGTTTGCCTCACCAACTCAGTCCCCATGCGAGGAAGAGTTTAACGTGGCCTTTGAGGCATACATGGACTCGCTACTGACGCGACGTGAACGAGGTACAGCTCAATGATGATGATGATGATGTGTAATGCTGAGCATGATGCATTTTGCATGTCTAACCAATCTCTTGTAGTTTCAGAATCTCAGATTACGTCTGATGAGAATATATAGTGTAATTTTGTCCTATCCTGATGATCCCCATTTATAACATCCTGTCATCTTCTACCCCCAATATTTCAATGGTTTCTATTATAATTATGGATTAGTTAAATTCCTCAAAAAAAAAAGTATAAAAAGAATCATTTTTCTCCAAATGTTAAGGATTTAGAATTTAAGGGTGACCATAATATGGAGCCATTCTTACTGCTTTGCTATTTGTTCTTGGAAAAAGAAAATGGTGACTGAAGCGACTACTGTAGTTTTAATTCATAAAAATCATTCAATTTATGTTATTCTAGATTTAAAATTATGGAGACCTAAACATGTGTCCATTTTATACTGCTTTGCAATTTGTTTTTTGGAAAAGAAAATGGGAACAAGAGACTAAAATAGTTTTAATTGATTAAAATTGATGATTTCAATAAAAGTATGTTATTTATGAAGTTAAGCTAGCGATCCATTATGTGCTGCAGTACATCAATTAAAGATTCAATATAAAGAAAATAAATTTCTAAATTTCAATTTCAAATAATAAACAAGGCATATGAGCCGCGTCATGACAAAACCAACATAGTGCATTTGCGACCAGCATGGATCCAGACCAGCCTGCGCATCTGCGCAGTCTGATCAGGATCCATGCTGTTCGCTATCAGTTTCTCTACTTGTAATAGAGTTGGTAAGCAAACAGCATGGATCCTGATCAGACTGCGCGGGTGCACAGGCTGGTCTGGATCCATGCTGGTCGCAAACGCACTATGATTGGTTTTGTCATGACGCAGCTCATATTTGCCGTCTTTATAAAGCATGTGGTCTGACTGACCTCCGAAAGTAATGTTCAATACACCTTGTACTATATGGTAATGTAATAATTTATCAATGGTTAAATCCTGTTTGGAAAGTGATTTAACATACTGCAAAATCAATGGAAATTGATTAAGCAGTATTCTGAATTTATGATTAAATTACTGCTGAAAATAGGCCATAGTCAACAAATATATTATAAAGAGGAAAGACAATTCTGTTCTGTAAGAGATTTGTTATTAAAAAGTTGATCACAGAAAATATTCTTTGAACCTTTTGCATTGTCTTGTAGCATGTTGGACAAATTTGTAATCATTATTACTCAAATATCAGGAACTTTTAAAATTAACAAGGGTCTCATCACCTGGACTGGCCATGTGACATTATTAATGCATTTTCATGCAAGCGTTTCAATCACCCGGACTGGCCATGTAGCAAGCATCTCAGTCATATAGAGTGGTTTGGTGGTATTATATCATTTCCATGCAAACATCTTGAATCACCTGGATTTGAAAATTTCCATACAAGCATCTCAATCACCTGGATTGGTCATGTGACATATGCATGCTTCTGAAGCATCTTGACTATATCTAAACTCATCCTGTCATATATATGCATTTTTAGAACTTCATTCCCACCTTTATTCTGTAGATACAAGATATAATGGCATCGTTTGGGGGTGGCATTGCACGAGAAAGTGTATTTGTACGAGATTTACAGCCCGCCTTCACAAGGCTGTTAGCAGGTATATCAGTATTGTGTGCTGTTTTATAGACCTTACTAATATGTTCATTTTTTTTTTCAGCCTAGTTAAGTAAAATACCAAACAGTAGAATACGATAAAGAAAAGGTTCCTAATATTGGGTATATAATTATACTGTAAGAAATATTTCAGATGTTGCTACAATGTGACATACTTTCCTAGCCTCTGTGGTAGGATTGATTAAGGTCTAAGGTTGAATTACTTACCTTTCCCGGCTTTGCATTCTAATGCATCCTACAAATTTTGTTTCCAGAAACAGTGACCTTGACCTTTGACCAAGGGGATCCAACAGCAATCCCAGCCTGGGACTTTATATAAGCTTGATATATACCAAGATTGATTACAATATCTCATTCCTAAGGTGACGCTAAGGTTGAAATACTTTCCTTTCGTTTTTATGGATTCAGATGCATCTCATATATTTTGATTTTTCATGAGAGCAAGCTATCCAGATTGAAGGTTCTTCATAGTTGCCTGTCTAGTTGTGCATGAAATAATGCAGGAGGTGCATGCAAGAGGTGCATTTTATGTCTTTTTCTAGTAAAGCTGAAAATTCTTAGCATATGACTTTAATAGTGCCAGTCACAGTGATATTGAATCTTATCGACATAAAGAAAGCACATATCTGACCATAGTCTGCACCTGGTCAGTGTCTATTTTAGATTTTTCTCTAAAAATGGTAATAATAATGATAATCAAGAAGGGCAATACTAAATTGCTTCTAACTTAACCTGTTTCTACTGTTTGGTATTTTTAACTTGAAACTAAATGGATACATTTAATACAATATTAAACATATCAGAACACAACAAACTAGATTGATAGGGTAGTATAGTTACGTAATCAAACTTTGCATGTTTAAACTGACAACATCTCAAACATCTCAAATAATTGAGTTATGCATAAGTCATTTGTAACACTGGCTGTCCCTACATCCAGGGTAGTGGAGGGGAAGTATTTTAGTCCCCATATTTACAATATGAAGGCTGGTACAATATTTTATGAAATACTGTATTTGAAATTAAAGGAATCAAAATATCTAAAACATATCTTTCAGTTAATTCACTTCATTAAAATGTCTCCGTATTTATATTTTGAGTCTTTGGATAGGACATTAGCTTAGCTTTCGCCTTGGTAATCCATTAAAATTTCTTAAATCTGATTGTCCCTTAAAGGATTTGAAATTTTAACCTCAAAGTGGGGGGGGGGGGGGCTAGTATTACAAATGACTGGCGAATTAAGCCTGACATATTTGTTGACTGCACCTATCAGGTCTGTCTGTATTATTATGAATCAATGAAAATTTAATAGATATATAGGTATATCAGAATCAGACAGTTTATGGAAGTTTCAGGTTTTTGGTGAAAATCCATTGTACTAATTACAATTTGAAAATTATCTTTGTTGAATATATACCGGTATCAGTAACATAGTTAACAAATTGCTAGATAAAATTGGTGATGTAATTGTTAATAGTCTGTAAAATTATTACCATTTGTGTCATATGTATGTAAAATATGTTATATGTAATCACTGTGTAATTGTGCAATGTGTACAACATATGTGTTATATGTAATTTGTAGGTTCTGGACAGATGATCAGTATTGGGGAATGGTTGGAATCTATAGATATGGGACAATATGAGAATGCATTTGTTGCCAATGGTTATGATAATATAGATTACCTGGTAAGTAGATTAAATGATTAGTGGTCCGGCAGTGATTTATGGAAGGCCATTGTCACCCATATATAGATAATATTTTCAGAGCAAGAAGAAATTATGGAATTATCACATTGAAATATCATGGCTTACACATGTATGAAAGATTATGTCTCTTTTATATGCAAAAAAATAACTATGTTTGTAGTATGGCATCCTGCTGTTTCCAATTTTCTAATATTTCCAATTTAAATGTACTTTCTCTTTGGAATATTTTTATGTTTTTTTATTGACAATATGTTGTCCTCTAGTCTTTGTAAGTGAGTTTTTTACAAGTGTGTTGAATGGTCGTAAATATTGATTTCTATTTATAACCTGTAATTGTATTTCATTAAAGCATTTCTTTGGCTTAAAATTTCATGAAAAAAAGTCAAGGTCATAAGACTTAGAACCAGCCAGTTAATCAATGTGCTTTAACTTAGGAATTTTAATATTTGTATATAGATACACCATGATTAATCCTACCAGCATACTCTTTTTTGGGCAAAAGTCAAGGTCACAATGCCTTTGTTGTTATTTTTATTGAGAGTTATACACATGTTTGGAAAAAAAAACAGGTTGTATTATGTGAATGCCCCTGATGGGCAGGCTGGTGGCATCTAGGTGTGAGCATATCTTTTACTGGAATGAAGAGATTTAAGTATTACCTAAATAAGATACAGTGTAACACACAGTCATGTAGCATGTCTCTAGGTTCAAAGGTCACACTTAAAGGTCAGAGGAAAAGTTTTGCTGGACCAAAATTTCTACATACACAGAGAGATTAAAATATAGCTTCGCATACATGTTCACTATTATGAGGTGGAGTGTTAGAGCAAACTTTAGGTCTCTTTGGTCAAGATTCATGGCTGTGTGGTTAACGTCATTGACTTCAAACCACTTGTCTGTCACTGCTAAGGGTTTGAATCCCACCAAGGACTTAAGATTCTTTCATGTGAGGAGCCTATCCAGCTAGCATACAGAACATTGGTAGTTATACTCAGGTGCCCTTAGTGGCTGAAATAATGCATGGAAGGGTACCAGAGGTCTTCCTCCTTCAGTAAAGCTGAAATATAACCATTAAAACCCGAACTGAAAAATAAATAAAAGTCATGCACAGAACTTTTATATGGTCTGTTGAAATATTCATGTACACTGTGGGGAAAAAACAACAACAATATGTTTAAGTTAGGAACTTCTTTTAAATAAAGACCTTTCTTATTCTGACCGCAAATGGTATTTGATCAATAAAATATTATTATGATTTGACCAATGGACCTGCTGAAACTGTGTAATGGCTTTGCCTTTCTTTATATTTGAAATAGCCTTTAAGTTATTTATTTTAAGAGATTCCAATATTTTTTACCAGAGAATTGAGATGGATTTGTAGGCTGGTCTGGCTCTATACTGGTGACAAATATAAATTTTGTTTCCAGCATGAACTACAATTAACTGTACTAAAATCAGGATTGATCACATGTAATTACAAGAGAAGCCATCATTTATTTAAGGAATCTTTGTTTCATTATGGTATCTAATTGCATTGCAAAAATCCCTGTGACATAATTGACAGGCTGAATAAAGAAATTGAACATGTGAGTGTAATGTTCTGAACCTTTTTTTTTCAGGATTCTAACATACTAGAAGAGCAGGACTTGGAACAAATAGGTGTGCTATCACATGAACACAGACAGAAAATACTTCAAGCTACAAAATCTCTACCTCTACTTAAACCTATAGGTAGGTGCATAATTGACCTTCATATTCACCAAAATAGGATATCTGTGTCCCTACTTAAATCTGTAAATAGGCACATTATTGGCCTACATATTCAACAAGCTACCAAATTTCTAACCTTCTTAAAACTATAGGTTTAACCTATGGTGGCGAGGAAGCTTTTTATTTTGGTTATTGAAAGAAATTTGGTTAGACCTTGCACTCTATGACTGACATATCGGCTAGAAAATCCCAATTTGATTGAAGGATTCCATTCAACTGAAAATGAAGGATTCCACTTGACTTAAGATTGCCGTTTATTGAATAAAAGATGCCATTTATTTGACTGAAGAATTCTGTTTGAATAAAGGATGCCATTTATTTGACTGAAGAATTCTGTTTGACTAAAGGATGCCATTTATTTGACTGAAGAATTCTGTTTGACTAAAGGATGCCATTTATTTGACTGAAGAATTCTGTTTGACTGAAGGATGCCATTTATTTGACTGAAGAATTCTGTTTGACTGAAGGATGCCATTTATTTGACTGAAGAATTATGTTTGACTAAAGGATGCCATTTATTTGACTGAAGAATTCTGTTTGACTAAAGGATGTCATTTATTTGACTGAAGAATTCTGTTTGACTGAAGGATACCATTTATTTGACTGAAAAATTCTGTTTGACTAACTGAAAGATTGCCATTCAACTGGAGGTTCTCATTCGACTTGAAGTTGCCATTTAACTGAAGGTTGTCATGTGAACAAAAGATGCCATTAAATAGGAAAAATAATCCATTTAAACAAAGGTTGCCATTTGACAGAAAGTTTCTTATTTATTGAAGATTAACATAAATAGTATATTTGTGACTTAAATCTATATCTTATGAAATATTTTTATAAAAACAATAATTTTTGTATCAGATATATAGCTTTATACACTGTAAAAAATAATGGAGTAATAAAATATTTATTATTGTTTACTATTGTTTCACAGATCCAAATGAGCCACCACCATCTGTAGAAGAGTGGTTGATGACTCTACAGTTACCAGATTACCTGGAAACATTTACCACACATGGTTATGATACCATTGAAAAAGTTCAGAGTATTCTTTGGGAACTCCAGCTTAGAACGGTTAGTATGTTGTGTGTACATCATATATGTGCAGAATATGAACTAGAAAAAGGTTCTTGTCATTCTTGAATGAGTTTTAAGATTCTAGAATTTCTAATATATATAAAGCATACATTGTACCAAACAACACAATGTGTAAAAAAAGAATTTAAACCTGTATTGCTTTTTTCTTGCATAACATCAAAGGGAATTAACTTAATTTTATACAAGGAAAAAGCATGAGTGAGTTACTCCCCTTAGATTTATTATGACTTCCAGTCAACTGGTTTTAGATACATACTATTCTATAATATAATTTTTGTTGATTGAATCATGTTGTCAAAATGGTAATTAGAATGTAGCAATATTTAAGAACCATGATAATACTATAATAATACTAGGCTGTAGATAATGATACAGATTTTTCATTTCTATTGATAGTTTTATGGGTATTTTTAATGTTTTTGACAAGCACAGATTTGAACTATTTTAGGTGCTAGATATCTCCACACTGGGACATAGAAAGAGAATCTTAGCTTCCCTGGGAGAAAGAAAACCAATAGATAGACATACCCCAACACAGGTATACTTTACTTCATAATGTTGCATGTATTTAACGCCGCTTTTCATTGGATAACTGTGACGTTTATATAGTTTTATATATGGACAACTGCAGCTGTCAAGTTATAAAGAAATCCCACTTTTTCTTCAAAAAAAAAAGGAAGTTTCCTGTATTATAAATTCTTTACAAAGAATCCTGATAGGTTATATGACTGTATATAAATGATTGCTTGTGATATAACCATTTATTTGGCCCATATAACCTGTCAAAAATCTTAATAACTAATATTATAAAGGTATTCAAGAGGTTATATGGCCAGATTTTGTTGGTTGTAACCTTAGATATAGAGATAAGGATTTTATAGCAAATTTTTGTTTATACACGACAATATTACTTGACAGAAGTCTTTTAAACAAATTTATATCACTGCACAAATGCTTCCTTCAATAAATTTGAAAAAGAAAAAATAACTTTGCATAAACCATGTACATTGATAATATGAATATTAGTAATGTGATTGACCAAGCAAAATCATCGTCCAGTAATTTAGTGTTGTGCTTAAAAGAAAATCTAGTCAGTAATAAGAAAACATTGTAGTTAAGGGTCATCATAGTCATCTGGTATGTTTTTAAGTCAGTGAAAAATTTGTAGCAATGCCCATTTTGAAAAATGTTGTTGTGAAAATAAACAATACATGAATTATGATCAATTTTTTTTATAGAAGAAGAGAAGTTTAAGTTCATTGAGCCCCGAGGATAGGTCACCGTTCAACAACATCGACTTATTTAAAGATTATACGAACGTTAAACCTGTCTCGTCTTCGGAGGAGGATATCAAAGAGTCATCGCAGATGGCTGTCGACAGCAGTGAAGATGATGATGTGTTCAAGAAAAAAACAGTAAATCACATAATCAATTGAGCCGCGTCATGACAAAACCAACATAGTGCATTTGCGACCAGCATGGATCCAGACCAACCTGCGCATCCGCGCAGTCTGATCAGGATCCATGCTGTTCGCTATCAGTTTCTCTACTTGTAATTGGGTTGGTAAGCGAACAGCATGGATCCTGGTCGCAAACGCACTATGTTGGTTTTGTAATGACGCGGCTCAATTATTTAAGTCGGCACAATTATCATGCAGTCCAGGCCCTTTATTGTATGATGAGATTCTTTGAATTTCCATCTTGATACCCCTAAACTTGATAATGGACCGTCACAAAATTGAATGCTGGACTAGTTCATTGAAGAAATTCAGCAGGTTAAGGGGTAATCAAACTTACAAAATATGAGTTCATAGTAGAACTAATTGGCATCTATAAGAAGTACATGTAGATGTTATTGCTATGTATATTTAAGGAGATAACAATGACTATAAAAAGCTGCAATTGTATTCATAATTTTCATCACATTGTCCAAGAAGTATGTAGAAATAAATATATGTTTAGACATTATGTTGAAAACAATTTAATCAGTTACTTTTTTAATAACATTTATGTCATATGAAAGATATATTTGTCTTTGCTTCAGACTGGTCAGTCCATACGGAACAGTAATATACATGTACGACCACCTCACATGGCTCAGACATCTAGCCCAGCTAAACAGTGGAGACATAAACCAGAAATGTTAATAAAGGGATGTTGCAATTACACAGCACAGGTGAGTGATATATTTCTGTGATATATTCCAGTGATATATTTCTAGTGATATATTTCAGTGATATATTTCAGTGATATATTTCAGCGATATATTTCAGCGATATATTCCAGCAATATATTTCAGCGATATATATTCCAGTGATATATTTCAGTGATATATTCCTGTGATATATTCCTGTGATATGTTCCTGTGATATATTTCAGTGATATATTTCATTGATATATTCCAGTGATATATTTAGGGATATATTCCAGTGATATATTTCATTGATATATTCCAGTGATATATTTCAGTGATATGTTTCAGTGATATATTCCAGCGATATATTTTAGTGATATATTTCAGTGATATATTTCAGTGATATATTCCTGCAATATATTCCAGTGATATATTTCAGTGATATATTTCAGTGATATATTCCAGTGATATATTTCAGTGATATATGCCAGTGTTATTCCAGTGATATATTTCAGTAATATATTTCAGTGATATATTCCAGTGTTATTCCAGTGATATATTCCAGTGATATATTTCAATGATATATTCCAGTGATATATTCCAGTGATATATTCCAGCGATATATTCCAGCGATATATTCCAGTGATATATTTCAGTGATATATTCCTGTGATATATTTCAGTGATATATTTCAGTGATATATTTCAGTGATATATTTCTGTGATATATTCCAGCGATATATTCCAGCGATATATTCCAGCACTATATATCAGTGATAATTATATTCCAGTGATATATTCCAGTGATAAATTCCAGTGATATATTCTGGTGATATATTCCAGTGATATATTCCGGTGATATATTTCAATATATCAGTAGTGAGTTAAAAATTTCATTGATGTGTGTCATTTTTCAGTAATTAGTGTTATATTGAAAGAATAAGTGATGTTTTCAATAGTAAGTGATATACCCAAATAATAAGTGATATATTCTAGTAATTACATATATATGGATTGATATTTTCTTATCTACCAAAATGGTTAAATTAATAGATTTTTGGAAAAAAAAATTTCTTTAATCTTCCAATTTAGTAATATAGATTAATTTACAATTTTCAAGGAGAAAAAAAGATTTCCTATTTCACATGGTCAACGGCAATAGATAAATGTCTTATCTTTATATTCTGTTGAATTTATGTTATTTAAATAATTATTGAGATTCTATTTATTATTTTATGTCATATTGATGTATAACATATTTATGGTATTTTGGAATGATTTATATTTCAGTACCTGGGGTCAACTGTAGTGCCTGAACTCACTGCCGGTACAGAGTCAACTAGAGCTGGGATCACTAAATTAAAGGTAGCGTTTTAATACTGGTTGCTTAAGAAATAATATATCCCAAACTGTGATGTATTGCTCAATAAAGTCACTGGAGTTTGGATGCGGGGGAATTATATCACGAGGGCGTAGCCCGAGTGATATAATGATGCGTACCGAACGACAAACAGTGATTTTATCAAGCAATAAAATCAACGATGTGGATATATTATTTTGATTCTAACATGACATAAACAAATAAATGCTGCCGTACCTGATATTTAGTTAAATTGCACCTGATTTGTTTCCGTACTTATTGTCAGCGCGTCACATTTTTAGTGGTTATGTCACATGTATAATGATTACGTCTTATGTCTAAATATAGAACAGCATTTCAAAAGATACAGAATAGGAAATGTTGTTCTCATTAATTTGTTCTTACTTGGTCTACATATATTCTTGTTACTGTTTGATTTACTCCATGTCAAAGTGGTTGATTTAAATGATTGGATCTTCTGCCAACATTTCAGTATGTTAGAGATTTTAACACTGTATTTTTAGGAAGGAATTAATGTTTTCATAATTTGTTGAGAGGGAATTGTGTTATTATACTGTCTGGAAAATGTTTGTGTTTTGTGGCACTATCTGAGGAGAGAATTTCAAGAGACAATTTGTGTTGTGACACTCTCTCTAGATAGATTTTGTGTGTTGTTACACTTTCTCAAGAGATAATTTGTGTTGTAACACTTTCTCCAGGAAGAATTTTGTAGAAGCACTTTCTCATGGCAGAATTTGTGGTTTCACACTTTCTCAAGAGAGAATTTGTATTGTAACACTTTCTCCAAGAAGAATTTGTGTAGAAGCACTTTCTCATGGCAGAATTTGTGGTTTCACACTTTCTCAAGAGAGAATTTGTATTGCCACACCTTTGAAAGGATTTGCATTGTAACACTTTTTCAAAATACAGTTTGTGTTGTAACACTTTCATGAAAGAGAATCTCTATTCTAACACTTCCTTGCAGTTGGACTAGTGTTTCAACTTCTTTAATGAGAAACGTTTGTTGTAACATCTTGGACTGCTTGTTTTGACACTACCTGAAAAGAGTAATTCTGTGTTCTATAAGCATGTTTTATCAAGAAGATGGCAGATATATTTTGTCTTTCAGTATTTTAAGGCCCATCATTTAACTGATATGCCATTGTAATTTCAGCTACGATTTTTACATCAGTTACAGGTCAGTGGAGAATGCAGAATGTTGTTGTTGTTGTTGTTGTTGTTGTAATATTTTATATAACTCATGGAATGCCATTATATTATAGCTATTGTTGCCTGTTATATAAATATACTCTGGTACCAACTTCTGTGACCCGCACACAATACCCCCTTTAAATATAGAATGGTAGCTGACAGAGAGTCACTCCTTAGTTTTAAGTAAATTCACAAGTTTGATTGATGAAGCAAGTTTGTATGACTTAAAATTCATCACATTTACCTAGAGTCTGCTTCTAACACTAACCTGTACTAGAGACTAGTGTGATATACAAGGAAAGATTGCTGTGACCCAAGTTTGGCTCGAACCCAACAGTCCTTTGGCTGAGAGGGCTGACAGATGGCTTAATTACTAGACCATGGCAAACCCCTTTTACCGTCTATTGTTTGAATATTTCCTATACGACATCAATGTACAAACCATACCAACAACCTTGTAGGATTATTTTTTCACCATTTTTATTAGCTCGACTTTTCTATGAAAAGGGGAGCTATCCTACTCGCCCCGGCGTCGGCGTCACACCTTGGTTAAGTTTTTCGTACCACCCCACTTTATTTCAGAAGCATTACAAGTATGGCTTTGAAACTTACCATACTTGTTCACCATCATAACCTCCATCTACAGACAAGAGTACATAACTCTGTCAAGGTTTTTGACAGAATTATGGCCCTTTTTTGACTTAGAAAGTGTATTGAGCTTGGTTAAGTTTTTTGTACCACCTCACTTTATTTCAAAACCATTGGAGGTATTGCTTTGAAACTGACCATACTTGTTTACCATCACGACCTTCATCAACAGACAAGAGGACATAACTCTGTCAAGGTTTTTGACAGAATTATGCCCCTTTTTGACTTAGAAAATACATTGAATATGGGTAAAATCCACTATTGCCTTAACCCTTTGAGATATTGCTTTGAAACTTTTAATGCTATTTCACATCATTACCCCCATCTGTACGCAAGAGAAGGTAACTCTGTCAAGGATTTGTTTTAAAAATTAAGGCCTTTTATCGACTTAGAATCTTGGTTAAGTTTTTAGTACCAGTCCACTTTTTGACTGAACTGTTTGAGATATTAATTTGAAAGTTGGAATACTTGTTTGCAATCATGATTCCCAAACATGTCCAGGAGAAGGTAATTCTGTCAAAGATTTTATTTGAATTATGGCCCTTAACTGTCAATGTTTTGTATTATAGGCAAGCACTAAAAAACTTAAAAAATCTAAAAAAATTCATTCCTATCCACTTGTTCACTTTACCATTAATTATGTCATATAAACATTGCTGTAATATTCAAGGGTATCAAACAACTAGTTCACTTTAAAAATACAGAGATTCTTGTATTGCCTTTTACTGCAAAAACTTTTTTTATTGGCAAGCAATAAAAAAGTCGAGCGCGCTGTCTTACGGACAGCTCTTGTTACCTTTGACTTAGACTATGATTAAAAAGAATAGGTCCAAAGTTATTTACCAAAAAAATGACTATGGGTCATTATTTAACTTTTCATATTCATGCACTATTATATTTACAGAATGCAAAAAATTTATTTAGCTTTGTTGTTTGTTTTACATTGTACATGTATTGTTAAAGAAATGCTGTGTTAGATTTTTATATTTTCTTAACTTCTTATTTTTTCCGATGTGGAATGCAATTTATTAGCTAAACAATTATGTTATGCATTTGAGGATTTAATCTGTTTTGTTTATATATGTATGTTTATATTTTATTTCAGCATGTTACATTATAACTTAAACCCTTAATCTGCTGAATTTGTGTAATGGATTTGCCCTGCTTTGAATTTGGAACAGTCCATTTAAATTTTAAGGAATTTCATTTTCAAAATAAAAAAACCAACAACCAGAAACTGAGTTTCAAACAGTATTGGTTTATACAGAATTTCTTTTAGTTTGATTGTGTAGGAAGCTATAAGCTTATAGACACACTTTCGAATCCGTTCCTGGAACCAACCAGTACTGACCAATGAGTGTTAAGATTCTTGCTCAAGGAAAGAACGACTTGCCCCTGACAGGGTTTGAACCAATGCGGCTAGCAATCATTAGATTACAGCGTTAACCACTCGACAATGCCGTCACTTATAAGTATCTGAATAAGTATTTTCAGTGAATATTCAGACTAGCCAGGCTCTGTGTTGTTGGCAAGCTTATCATACCCAATTACGGCAGGTTAAAGGTTTAACTACTCTTTCTATTGCCATAGTTAGGCCATTGTAATATTAAATAAGGCTAAAAATAAATAAATGTTTATTTTCTCAGGCCCTGTTTCTTGTAAAGTTTGACCAGCAAGATTTGAAATTTTTTATCAAAAAAAAAAAAAGAATCGGAGAGTAAAACTGGACGCTTCAGTATATAGTTTACACAGAGCTCACTGAGAGGAGTTATGACAGCAAATTTCTAATTATAAAAACCAACTGCCTAATTGTTTGTTTTTAACCAGGTTTTCAATTTTGAAAATCCTGGTTATTAGATTGGGGTATGGCGGGCGGATGGGCGGATGGGCGGCTGGGCGGATGGGCGGATGGGCGGCTGGGCGGATGGGCGGATGGGCGGGCGGGCGTCAAACGAAATTGTGTCCGCTCTGTAACTCTTCAACCCTTTGAAGAATTTTGATGAAACTTCAGACAAATGTTTACCACATCAAGATGACGTGCAGAACGCATGTTCCGCATGGCTGGCTCCAAGGTCAAGGTCACAGTGACATTAACATTGAAAATCCTGTCCGCTCTGTAACTCTTCAACCCTTTGAAGAATTTTGATGAAACTTCAGACAAATGTTTACCACATCAAGATGACGTGCAGAACGCATGTTCCGCATGGCTGGTTCCAAGGTCAAGGTCACAGTGACATTAACATTGAAAATCCTGTTTACATGATTTCATTAACATTGAAAATCCTGTCCGCTCTGTAACTCTTCAACCCTTTGAAGAATTTTGATGAAACTTCAGACAAATGTTTACCACATCAAGATGACGTGCAGAACGCATGTTCCGCATGGCTGGCTCCAAGGTCAAGGTCACAGTGACATTAACATTGAAAATCCTGTCCGCTCTGTAACTCTTCAACCCTTTGAAGAATTTTGATGAAACTTCAGACAAATGTTTACCACATCAAGATGACGTGCAGAACGCATGTTCCGCATGGCTGGCTCCAAGGTCAAGGTCACAGTGACATTAACATTGAATATCCTGTTTACATGATTTCATTAACATTGAAAATCCTGTCCGCTCTGTAACTCTTCAACCCTTTGAAGAATTTTGATGAAACTTCAGACAAATGTTTACCACATCAAGATGACGTGCAGAACGCATGTTCCGCATGGCTGGCTCCAAGGTCAAGGTCACAGTGACATTAACATTGAAAATCCTGTTTACATGATTTTAACTTGATTTGGCAGTCAAAGGTCATATCATCTTTGGAGGTAATTTAAAAAAGATATGATATATTATTTCATGTCTACTTTGTAACTTGTTTTTCATTATACAGAATTATCAATATAATTATAGTGAACAAATTCTTCTGTGCTGAACTCGTCCTACATTTCTCAACGGATTTTGTTCAAACTTTCACAGAAGCTTTGTCATCAAGCACCCTGGCACATATTGTCGGGGTTTTGTGATTGGATAGTTTTTGACCTAATTATGGCCCTTTGTTTTTTTCCTTATACATAATATTATAGTGAACACTTCTTCAGTGGCAATTCCTCCTACATTATTCATGTTTTACATTGCACATAGTTACACTGTTTGTTGCTTGTATTTGTATTTCAAATACAACATATTTATCTACAATGGTGATAATTGAAAACCTGGTTTCATGGCATTGCCATGTTTCTTGTTTAAATGTGGTCTGAGAAACTTAAGATTAACATTTATTTGTTTTAGCCCCACTTTAAATATATATATCAGTCATACCTTTTTTCAGTATTTGGTAAACATTTTCACACTGCTTTAGAGAGAGGGAATGATTTTAGATAAATCTGTGCATGGTGTAACATAATTACCTTGTTAGCCCTTATTGTGAGTTTACCTGTTACAATTATGGGATGTGAATGGTTTCGATTTGACACTAGGTTATACCAAAGATCAGTAGGTACATGTATGTCATGATAGTTCCAGTAACTTCCTTGTTTTGTCATCAGTTTTGAAAGTGAAACCTGGTGGTTTGTAGCTTGACTATTTGAAGAAAAAATAGTCGGGCTAGGCTACTCACTGCTGTGAGGGTTTGTGTTTTACTTGATTAACCCTTACTCCACAAAAAATCTTAAATGGACTTGTCCATCTTTTAATCTGAACAAATCCATTCGTCAGTTTTAGGAGAAATTTCAAAATATGTACTGACTGAATAGCAAACAGTTCAGACGATGATAAGACTCCAGGGCTGATTTTGGTCTGCATTACTGCACTAGTGGCACAGGTTGAATGTGTTGCCACCAGCAGGTTAGAGTTAAGGTTTTGCATTCACCTTTTTGCCTTGTTAAAATCTGAGAGTATTGACTTAAAACCACGCACTGTCTTTCTTTGTATTTTTTTAAAATTTTAAATAAGTTTATTAATTAATCAGTTTTCCAAATTTTTCATGTCTACCTCTTGCTAGAAAAATCAGACAGATTTTTTGTTGTGGGTTAATTATATTCAATGAGGAGGTTAATCATATAAATAAATGCATTCAATATAACCATCTAAGATAATATAGCTTGATTTCTGAGACTCTGATTTCATTACCAGTCTTTTAGATGATGTACAATGTACAAATCTTAATAAAGTATATGTTCTGCTCTGTTCTGTTCTTTTAACTTTCTGGAAAGATTTTAACTAAGAACTGAGAGAAATTTGCAATGTCAACACATGATTCTTGTTATTGTTGTTGTTGTCATTTAATTTCATGTCTGTTTTGTCATACTTAATCTACAGAATTATTCTGTCAATTGTGTTATGGCTAGGTAAAGGGA